CATGATATACAGAAGTGAAAGGTATAAGATCATATGATAAATGAGTTAATGATAATGGTAGAGATCATGATAATGAGGTTGATGTTGATAATGATGGTATATATATATATATGCATGTATGCCTTTTGTTATGTGAAATATTCTATGGTTTTATTCTATGTTTTATATGCCTCACTAAGTCAACGACTTAGCGTGTGATTGTTTCACGCGTAGGTTCCGAGAAGAGGAAGAATGATAAAAGTTAAGCAAGACAGGTCAGTTCTCCTTTCCAAAGATCAGATCAGAAAAGAATTAAATAGTATGTATTTTGTAATACTGATTGTGGTTGGCATGTAAATAAAGAGTTGAATTCAATATGCTCTAATTGGTTTTGTAAAATCATATGATTGAGTTTTGTAATGTTTTAAACGTATTTAAGTAAATGGTAATTGTTTAGTGATGAAAGATTAACTTTTTATGAGTCTTATACATGTTGACCAAAATTACTGTAGTAAGGGTATCGATACACTATAGTAGGGTATCGATACCACTGTAGCATTCTGGAAAATTTTAGCATTCGGTACTGTTCACCACTATTCATGGTATTGTTCATTACTGTTCACAGTATTGTTCATACTGTATAGTACTATTCATAAAAATGTTTTTTTCTTTAAATTTGAATAACGAACATAATTCAACGATATATTATCGTATTTTCTTAATACAAGTCCAAACGTTTTATTATTTTGTAAGAATATGGTTTCAAAAAGTCAATGTGATATATCATACTCGTATCCGGGTCGGTACGGGTTTTCGACCAAAATTTTGTGTTTTCTGTAATCGAGAAAAGGAAACAATTAATCATTTGTTGTGTCAATGTGAAGTGGTATGGAAAGTATAGCAAATATGGTGTAGGGTGTGGAAGGTAAATATAGTTTTTCCAATGAATGCTAGAGGATTGCTAGAGGTATGGTATAATCATATCATCAGGAAAAATATTAGACAGATTTGGCAATTGGTTTTTTTTTTTGGAATAATATGGAAAATATGGATATGCAGAAACAAATCAAGGTTTAATGGTACTTCTCTTTCGGTGGACCAAATTTTCAATTTGTTTTGTTGCAGATAGGAGTGTGGACGAATAATTTATGGCCGATACTGATTCCTGTTGTTCAAGATTTCGTTCGCAGCCCAGAGTCCGTTATTCTTGGTGAACGTAGGTAGAAAACTAAGTTGATGCTTTGAGTTTTGTTGTATGTTTAATGCAAGATTTGTTGCAATGTTTTATTGGTAATGTTTTGTTGTATTTTAGTGTACAGTCTGTTTTCAGTACCAGGTTTTTGCTTTCATTTTCCATAGGCTAGTCACTTGAGGATAGGTGGCTTTCTGTATCAGTCCATCTATGGTTTTGTTTTAGGGAATATGATGGTTATGTAAGAATAATTATCCAATGGTGTATTTTTCTTCTTACTACCTCAAGGTACACTCTTTTTCCTCCATTTATGTTTAGTGAGGTTTTTTTAATGATGTTCTTGAGATGGTGTACTTTGTTAATGATTCAATACAAAGTACCTTCTTTCAAAAATAAAATAAAATAAAAGTTTGAGGGTTTCAAATACTATTAAGTAAAAAATTGTTGTTAGAAGTATTTGAATCCATGTAAACTAAGTTAAAATTTTAGACCTCGTGTTTTTCTATTTTCAAAATAATTTTAATGAAAATATTGGAAATATTTTTTTTATGTTTTTATATTTTCACTCATTTTTATTTTTCAGAAATCATATCATAATTTTACAATCAAACAGGATTTATTCAAAAAAAAAATTCTCTTAAAAAATGAAAATAACTTAAATTTGTTAGAACCAAACCAACATTTACATAATTTTGTGTAATTGTTTTTACATAATATAACTCTGACCAGGCAAAGTTAATCCGACTCCGAGCTATGACTGTTGGAGCCCAATTTGCAGCGCCGGTTAATTTCTACTCTGTATACAGACGGCTAAAAGCTATTTGTGAAAGGCGTACGCATCCATCTCAAAGTAAAGCTAAGGGTGACTGTTTTCTAATAGAAGTCATCATGAGCGTTTATTGAAATCAAAATCTAAATATAACTAATGCTAGATTAGATGATCAATTTAAAAAAGAAATGATTTGAGGCACATTCATGGCAGGCTTAAGGAGTGGGGATGACTAATCGTTCTATTACTTAATACAGTATATGGGTTGGCAAAGGGCTGGATCAAACTCGTAGTTCCTTGTAACTGTGCATTAAGCAACTGTTTGGTCATATAGTAACCTTTTCTCCACTAATTCTTTAAGCCATCCTTCCTGGGCTTCAAGAATACTTTAATAGCATGACAGGGAAGGGATGATCCCTGAATCGTTAAAACCGAATATAATACAAATTTCAGATCAAGAGATGTGAAAGGGTTGGGTCCTCCATGATTTAGCAAATCCCACCTGCGTATATCAAACAATATAAAAAATGACCAAAAATATCAATTTCATATATAAAAACAGAAAAAGTAGTTGATGTTATCCTTTCCAGAGTCAATAAAACGTGCTTCGTATTCGGAACCCCCAATAATTTGTCAATCTGTCACTAATTGAAGTGGCAACTCCATGTTATATTGGTGTTTATACATTATAGGGTAAACTATGTTTTTTCAGCATTAAACTTTAAACATCATATACAACCCCAGTCTAAAAGCTTTTACAATCCGTGTTGCCTGCTGTTTTGACCCATTGGTTGCAGTTTCACGACGGCATTGAGGGGAGAAACCATTAGTTTTTGGCGAATGCCGAGACATCTGTGGCTATTTCTCTGGTTACGCGACACATCATTAGGCGTCCGGCACACTATTCAACGCGTCCCTCATTTTTTTTAACCCTACTTTTGGAATTGCCTTCTCAATCTCAACTCGCCCAGCTATTCATATAATAATGTTATAAGTTGGAGTGTTCAAATCTAATCCGATCTAAAAAAATAACTGAAAATTGATCTAAAAAATCGATAACCGAAAAAAACCAAAATCGATTTAGTGTGTTTGATTTTTTTTTACAAAACCAATTGGTTCGGTTCGATTTCAGTTTTGGAAATCCGGAATCGATCCAAACCGAATCGAACCGATATCTATTAAAATGAAATTTTTCCATATTTTTTGTCTATAGAATCTGAAAAATATAAAAATTATGAAACACTTTTAGGATTTCGTTGTAGCCTATTTGGTTAGGATTCTCAACGCTCACCCGAGAGACCTGGGATTAAGTCCCGGCAATGGATTTTTTTTAATAAGTATTGATGATAGTATGCAGCAACATTGGAATCAGCCATGCTTGTATGGTTGTGGAGAGGGAAGCTTGATTGAATGATTCATTGAACACGCTAGCCGTTCTAAAAACCTCGTTACTTTTTCAATTTTCATCTAATTTACTACCTCTTCAAGACAGGGAAAACTAAAGCCATTTATAAGCAGAGGCAGAGGAAAAGAAGAATTGGAGAGTTCACTGAATTGTATTAATCGACAAACTGGCCTATGTAAACATTTTATTTCTAAACATTTTAATGGAAATATGATTCTCAAGTATTGTGTTTTTTCCTGCACATTGTTTTTTCATCAAGATTTTTTTTAAAAACATCCAAACCGATCAAAACCGAATCAAATCGCACTTAATTGTATCGGATCGGATCGGTGATTTTTTTTAGAAACATCCAAACCGCAAACATTTATACTTTCGGATCGGATGAATTTTTAATCAAAAACCGATCTAAACCGACCGCGAACACCCCTAGTTATAAGATGAATCATACCATATAATACAATTAGAAAATGTTCCCACTCTTCCAATTAATTGGGACCATTTTTTATTTGCTACTATTATTCTACTTGCTTTACAAAACCGCAATATTTTCTATAATTATTTAATATATTAAAATCATATACTTTTAATCTCACAAACATAGTACAACATATATTTTTAATTGAAACTTTGAAATTAAAATTAATAAAATTGAACTAAAAAGTTAAAAAAAATCACCTAGTATTAAAGAATATTTTTTATGGGTAAACTACATATTTAGTGCTTAAACAATCAGTTTTAATCTATTTTAATGTTTAATTTTTTTTAAATTACCCCTAACATTTAATTTTTTTTTAATTTTAATACCTGTTAAAATTTAATATTATTTTATTTAAAAAATTAAAAAAAATTAGATATTAAAATAGATTAAAATTGATAATTTAAATACTAAACCTATTAAAATTTTAATAACGAAATATTAAAATAAAATAAAATAAAAATCAAACATTAAATATGATTGAAGAGAGAATTTAATACACTCAACCCTTGTTTATTTTATTTTGGATGAAAAATGGTAATCATCATTTAAACACTAATAATAAATAAATAAGTGAGGAGGTAAGAAAAAAGATGCGAGTTTGTTGACTTTGTTGCATGCCCATGTGAACATGGATAGATATTAAAACAAAGCCGCTTTGCCCATACCATTTCTCTTTATTCCCGACGCTTCACAGTCTCTCTCTCTCTCTCTCTTCCATGACAAATTAAGCAACAAATACAAAAGAGATTCGGAAAGTTGTCCAAAGCCTCTTCCCTTTTCTCTGTAAGTTCTTTACTTCATCTTTCGCACTAATCTTCTTCTTCTTCTTCTGCTACTGCCTACTACTACTACTATTTTTAAAAAAAAAAACAAATCAATTACCGAATCGGGATAGTTTTCTGGGTTCTGGAAATTGAGATCGGCCTTTAGGTTATCACATGTCTACCAGCGTACTACTCAAATGATTTTAGAGATTTGTCACATCCTCTTCATGATATTTATGATGTAGAAATCTATCAGATGTTCTGTTCTTCTATTATTCCTATCGAATTATTTGATTAACCGCATCAAATCAACGCTTTTTGAGTGATACCATTTCTATCCCATTTTGGTTTCTTCTGGTTATCCATATCCGTCCCAAAAACTTGTCCTTATCTTGCTTCCATTTTTTTTGTATTTTTGCGAGTAAATTAGTCTTAGAATGACGGAATGCATCGAAACACAGCTGGATGTCTTCTTCTCAAAGTTGCACAAACAATTGAATTACTAATAGTCTTAATTTTTCCTTTGAAATCAGAGTACAACTCAACTGACGCTAATAATGCGCGTGCTCTCTCACCTTCTCATGCTATAGCTGGAGTCCATGCCCCATTTGATACTTATGGAATGGAACAAATCAATTGAATCATTCATTTTATCAGCTATATACATGTGCAAATACTAAAACTCTACTGGTAGTGTAATAATGTTTAAGTATTGTAACCCTATACTTTTATTTACAAGTACTAATTTTGTTGTTATGTAGGTTGGATACTGATTTGCACTGTTTCTCTGAACCCAGGTTTTTTTTATACCCGATACTGATCGGTGATCAGCATACTTCTAGCCAGCTTCCAAGATGGCAAATTCTTCAGTACGAAATTAATCTGTTCCTTTTCCTAAACATACTTCTTTCGTTAGCTTACTTAACTATATCTACAGCTATACATGTCTAGGTTCCTTTTATCTTTTACCCTTTGTATGATAGCAAGCTTTTATCATTAGCATTTTCCACTTCTGAATTTTCTTATTACAATATGTATGTAATATCCTCTACTTCTAGCCTAATAATCCAAGCTCAATTTCAACATCTACTTATTCATGTTATGATTATAGTCAAGATAACAACATAAGCTATGTAGTGGGAATCATTAATACAAAATGTTCTTGCATTCTGATGCCACCAATTAATTCTTTATTCATAAAAAATATGCTAGTCTATTGCTAAAGCAGCACTTTTCCTATTCAGAGAGATTTTCTTAATTTTGTTCAAATAACTTTTGAAAAATATCATTATCGATTGTGCAGTGAAGATGTTATATGTTTCTTAATTTTGTTTTTTCCCCTCTCATTTTAGGGTCATTTAACTAAAAGTATGAAGAGACTTGAATCCAGAAAGTCACATTCATGGTGGTGGGATAGCCACATCAGCCCCAAGAATTCAAGGTGGCTAGCAGAAAATGTTGAGGGTAAGTTCTAAGGAAGGTGCTGCTATAATCCAACCCCCCCCCCCAAACAACACCCACACCAAATTTCCTTTCCAGAATTCAGGCAACTAATCAATTTGAGTTGAAGCTAAGTAGTCAATACCATAGCGGTGGGTGTTCTGTTTCTTCTCCAGTACTGGCACTTGGTACCAGTGTGTTTTCTGTATACCATTTCAGGTTTATCGTTATTTTTTAAAGCATATATATATATATCATATAGAATACAAATATACCTCAATTACATACCTATAAATATATTTATATTAAAATATTAGTCTTAAAATTATTAAATAAGTTAATGCAAAAAATAAAAAAGAGTTAAGATATAAAGAATTAGAAGTTGGTTTAAAATATTAAAACCTTTTACCAACCGGTATCGACTGAAATTTTAACCAGAATGGTACTTGAATTACTTGGTACTGGTTTAAGATCGGTACTGTTACAGCATTGACTTTTATGGGTGGATGACCATAAGATTATAGCAAATACTTCCAAGTTCCAACATGCCTTTTCTTGTGTCCTTTGTCACAACTGAAATATCATAGGCGATTTAAATCTTAATTCTTTCCTGTGTTCGCCGAGTGGTCTTTTCATTTCTTGTATGCATGTCAAAGGTAAATGTTGTAGGTGTTTTACATCTTCTTGAGCTGAACAGTTTGTTACAATGTTTAGATGCTTAATCTATCTTTTGGGTGAAGCAAAGACATGTTTAGGTTCTTAAAGAAGCAAAAGTTACTAAATGAGAAAGCAGGGTAGCATACTATTAATCGTTTCCGCTGTTATCATGGTTCTGGTGCTTTTCTCTTCTGCATCTTATAGAGAATTTTGTTTCTGAAATCAATAAAATTCTGGAAATGTCAAACAAGAAAATAACATTAAGATTGTTGACTACAGAAATGGATCGTAGCGTCAAGCAGATGCTGAAGCTGATTGAAGATGATGGAGATTCATTTGCAAAAAAGGCTGAGATGTATTATCAGAGGAGGCCAGAACTTGTGTCTCACGTTGAGGAGTTCTACCGCATGCATCGCTCTTTGGCAGAGCGTTATGACCACTTGACAGGAGAATTGAGGAGGAATATTCCATCTGACCTCCAATCTCAGGGTTCTGACATTTCTGATATTACTTCTGATCCACCCTCGAATTGGCCAGCTTCAGACCAAAGGCTGAGTCGTCGTAAATCTGGCCCACGAGCTGCTGGTTTTAGTGTCTTCCTTGGTTCTGGTGGGAGTGATGTGTACCAGAAAGAAGAGGACGAGTTATCTACTCGAACAGATTCTGAAACAGAATCTGATGCTTCCTCAGTCAATAATTACTCAGTTTTATCAGGGAATGGGAGTGATCAAGGGTTGAACAGGAAAATGGTCGAGTTGGAGATTGAGCTCCATGAAGTGAAACAGAAGCTACGGATGCTAGAGGAAGAAAATACAGATGGCTCGGTAAGAGGGACAAAAAATAATAATTCTGAACTTCTTGCTAGAATTAGGGAGTATGAGGACAAACTTGAAATTGCTAACAGAAAAATACAGCTCACTGAAGAAAAAGTCACCCGGTTGAGGATCGAGCTCCAAAAATATAAACCACTAGAGGCAGCTGACTCGGATTCATCTGAAGAAGGAAGTGTCAAGATGCACAAGACAGAGCAGATTGAGGTAAATCAGGCTTTAATGGATCTTGAAAGTAAGAATGGTATATCTGAGAAAGATAATAAACATGCAGATGGCAAGATGCAAGAACTTGTGGAAGAATTAACCATTACTAAAGAAGTGCTCCAGGGTTCTGAGAAAGAAATTGCTAGTTTGAAGCTGGAGAAGAAGCAGTCTTATGAAAAAATTCAAAAGCTGCAGGGTCAGCTTGATACGGCTCAAAGGGAGATAGTCACATGGAAATCCAAACTGAATACAGAGAAAAGAGAGGTTTCCAAGCTGCAGGATAGAATTGCAATGTTAAAGAATAGTTTATCAGACAGGGATCATGAGATCCGGGATTTGAAGATAGCTGTATCTGATGCCGAGCAGAAGATTTTCCCCGAAAAGGCTCATATCAAAGCTGAAATATCAAAATTGTTGGAGGGACGAATTTGTTTGGAAGAACAGCTCAGGGATTGGGAAGCACGTGGCCGGTCCTTGGAGGAGGACATCAGAAAAGCTGTGAATGATAAAAGAGAATCAGAGGAGACGCTTCGTGGTGAAATTGAGCATTTAAGACTGGAGATTGCTGAGAGAAGCGATTGCATTAAAGTTTTGAATGAAAACCTTGAGACTTTAAAAGCTGAGAGGGATGTGCTTGAGAATAATATTGTATCACTCAGAGCAGAGATTAGTTCTAGGGATAATCAGATTGTTGAAATGGACAAGCATCTCCAAGAATTAAATGTGGAACATGGGGAGCTAATTGCTAGCGCTGAAGGAGCAAATAAATTGGTGGAGGAACTGGAATCAAAAGCCAAGGAACTAGAGGATGTGATTGAGAGGCAAAGAATCAAGATACTGGAGGGAGCAGAAGAGAAAAGAGAAGTTATAAGGCAGCTTTGCTTCTCCCTTGAGCATTACCAGGATAGGTATCATTGGCTTCGGCAAGCATTTATGGGCCAAAAGAGAGTAACAGTTTTGACAACATGAATATGCAATGCTACAGAGCACCATTTCGTTTTACTTAGTTCAATTATTTTGTTTTGAGTGAAGTATCTAGATTATCGCACATGTCCCTGAAGGTGCCTTTGTCATCTCCTGCGTGTTTAATGATAGTACAGTAAACAGAAGTTCCATTTTAGATGGAATATCACAGGTTTGCTCACAATGCTAGCGCCAAGAAGATGCTCGGAATGTCGGATCCGGTTGCATTTAAAATATGGCAGTTCTGCATTGTAACTTTCCGCTTTGTAGACTCCTTGGTCAAATCAAGCGGCTCCTTGCTTACCATGCTCGCACGTACCCGTGGCTTCATTGAGGAATAAGTCATTCCCTTTTGTGTGATTTAAGCTTTGGTAGTCCTTGCTCTCACTTCTGTCCTGTTTGCCCGTAACTCTCTTGACGGGAGTTGTCTTGTGGTGTTTAGCCACTTTTCTATACCGAGTTTAATCGGTTTATTTATTTTTGTATTGTTTTATGTACTGAATCAAAATAATTAGTTGATATAATATATAGACATTAATGTAGTACTGCATCCGCCCTATCTTCGCATATAATAATCACATACATTGTAGTTCTCCCACCCTCCACAAGGTTCAGCTTAATCGTCCGTTTATTTCTACAGTACGTAATCAGGTAATAATCTATACGAGTAAATATGTATATCATCATTCATCGGTTTGGGTTCAACACAGTTCTTGTTGTCTCCTATTTAACCAAACGTTCAACTATTTTTTTGGTCACTCAATTTTACCCATATTTTTGTTTTGATCACTCAACTTTAAAATTGCTCAGTTTCATCACTAAACTTTTAAATTTCATTTGTTTGGCGACAATCGGATTAAGATTCAACTGGTATTTAAGGTTTTTATGATTTGATTAATAAGTGCTTATAACGAAATAATTATTTCATTATGTTTTTAAAAGAAATCAGTCACTTTCATTGAATTAGAGAAATTATATACTGTAGTTGTAGGATAAATAACTTGTTACCAAGCCAATCAGTTGACATAAATCCCGAGTTTCATCATTATACAACTCTTATTTTCCTTTAAAAAGATTATATATTAGTTATGTTCTTTTCTATAAACCCAAAGGAGTGGAATGGGTCTTTGTACCCAGTATATATGCGTGTATTTATATCCATGGTTATATAGATTTAGGAGTTGAATATTACGATCACCATATTCTGAGTTTGGAATACCGTAAATTCTCTGAAGAGATGTCCTCGACTGCAAGGAGGAGGCTTCAACTAGCATCTATCAAGGCTTCCCCTGAACTCTGAAGTTAAAGCGTTGGCCCCTCCTGTCTCATCAGTTACATCATGTGATATACTTTTTGGTACAAGTGTGGGTCGTTCGATCCTATAATTCTCATCTTGTGGACCCTCCACCTGGCACATTTAGGCTACAACTGCTTTGGGATTTTGCCAACATCACGATTTCTACATGTAAAAATAAACAAAGAAAACACAGTACTACACGAGACAGACACACGAGCTTGAAGTTGGCCAACCGGTAACTCCTTTTTTTATTTTATTTAAAAAAGGGTTATGTTGGAGTGTCATTGTCTCAAAGCAATTTTTATTTGCTTACTCAATCCTCTTTAGTTCAGCCTTAGCTATTGGAATTAGCTCAGACTCGTACCTCTCTCTCAACCAACTCCACCTTTCCTAATTTTCTTTTTCAATTTTTGGTGCAGAGACTTCATTTTCTGACTATGAAAAGATTTTTATCTTCAAAAAGGTTAGTGGTGAACAATGTGGTTAGAGATAGACGGTGAATAATGTGGTTAAAGGGGAGATAGAGTGGGAGCTTAGACCTGGTGGTATGCTCGTTCAGAAGAGGAACATGGGGGCTGCTTCCTCTGCTCCTATGATCAAGATCAAAGTTTCCTATGGTTCTTACCACCATGATATAGCTCTGCCTGCTCAATCCACTTTTGGTAACCATTTCTCTATATTTTTCTGTCTCATGCCTGTCTTCCTTGAAATTCTGCCCAAGGTTAGCATAGTGGTTTTTGTTTTGAAAAGAGTAGTTTGCATGGTACTTTTTATTCTTTTAGCAACTTTTGATTTTCGTATTCAGTATTTGATTAAAATGGTATGTTAACTTGAGGAAATTTTGATTGTTTATTTTTGTTTCCGTACATAGCTTGTTGGCCTTGACATTTGCACAAAGTTACTGCTTCGCCATCATGTTCGTGTTATACAACAGGGTACTAGATTATGGGTTCATGAGGGTGTTTGGTTGTCGTTGCTTCCTTTATTTACGACCCTATCAGAATCACAAATTAAGCTATAGATATCAGCCATGCACTTTTCTTGGATATAATCCTCAACACAAAGAATATCAATGCATGGCGCCAGATGGAAGAGTTTATATTTCCAGGCATGTTGTTTTTTATGAAACTTGTTTTTCTTTCGCAGGTGAATGCAAGTGAGACACACTTGTTCGAGACATTGAACAAGGATCTGATAAAGTTCTTCTTCAGTTTCTTGTTGTTGATGTGCAGGAGAAGTATGCATGGAGTCGACCACAATGCACAAAAATCAAGACGAGTTGGCGGTTGGTCCATATGATACTAATGTAACTGTTTCTCCATAAAATAGTATGGGAGATTGTGCCACTCCCTTGTCTCCTATGCCCAGTAAGCAACAGAATCCTATATCTAGTTAGAAACAAAACCCTATGCCTAGTTTTAGCCACAATTCAGGTAACAGAAGTGTTGACTCTCAATCAGTGGATTATGGTTCAAAAATTAGAGGACAAAATGAGATGGCTGTTGAGGATAGTCATGTGACTGAAGCAGTTTAAAGTCTTGCGGCTCAGAGTGTTCAAGAGGTGATAGACCCACTGACTACAGTTCCCATGACTGGATTTCCTATGCTTAATAGGATCAAACATGGGATTTTCAAACCAAAATTATATTTGTTGATTCATAAAGATGTTGAGAAGGAACCAGATACAGTACACGAGGCACTTCAATCTCCTCATTACAAAGTCGTTCATGTTGAGTATGAAATCTTGGAAAGAAATAATACTTAGACATTAGTTCCCTTGCCCAAAGGACGATTAGCTGTAGGTTGTAAGTGGTTGTTCAGAGTTAAAAGAAATGCTAATGGAACTATTGAGAGATACAACAACCCCAAGTATTCGAGAAACAGGTATTGGAAGATTATATGCTTGTTTGTAAGCTGCAAAAGTCTTTGTATGGGCTTCGGAGAGCACCACGAAATTGATTTTAAGGTTAAGAAGCTATGTTCTTGACATAGGTTTTAAGAGCTCACCAGTAGACAACTCTTTTTTTGTCAAGAACAAAGGTGGAAAGATGACATATATCTTAGTACATGTAGATAATATTATCGTCACTGGATATTAGAGTAACTACTTGTTACACGTGTGTAACATCCTCTATACCGGGTTAGTGATCAAATTGTGAAATTATAAAATTCAATGACCAAAGTAGATAAATTGAATAGTTGAAAGATTTAATGGGAATGTTTTGTGTAGGATCAATTAACAAAGAAGGAGGAACTAAAGGGGTAAAGGAGTCTTTTAATAGGGGAAATAATTAAATATTAGATGAGGATATTTAAATCCACGTGGAAGGCAAATGAAGAGAACAAAAGTTTCCAGATTTCTCTTCTTCTTCACTTCTTCTTCTCCATCGAGAGACCAAGCTAAAGGTGAGTTTTATTGTTGATTAAATTCTTGATGAATTTAACGTTTCTTATTGATCCTTAGTTGATAACTAAGCTTAAGGAAAGCTTAGATTATCTTAAAACCATAAGATGCGGAGAATATGAAGAATCAAAGAAAGGAAGTAGAAAAGTGAAATCTTGGATTAGAGTTCCTAATAAGAATTAGAAGTGGAATTTGACTTGTCATAAAGTTATCTAAGAAGTATGAGGTGTTAGAATTCAAATTAGAACATGTTGGAATTTGAGTTAGATTCTTAAATTCTACATGGAGAATTGGATTTTTAAGTTTCAAAAGTATGGAATGGATAATAATTAGTTTAAGTAAGAGTATGCAAGTTAAGGATATATAAAGAGGGGAAATATAAAGTGTTAAGTAGACTAAGAAGAGATTTTCGTGCTAAAATGACAATTCTGAGCAATGTGCATCGATGCACATTCATTGTGCACCGATGCATCGATGATAAATCCCAGAAATTGTTTAAGGTGCATCGATGCACATGCAGTGCATCGATGCATTAATTTAAAAAGAAAACATCGAATAGGATTTATGCATCGATGCATAAGGAGTGCATCGATGCATAAAGAGTGCATCGATGCATCCCCATTAAATACAAACATCGAATAGGATTTATGCATCGATGCATAGTGTAGTGCATCGATGCATACCTCCATTAAAAGATGAAAATGGCTTTTCTTTTAGCCTAAGAAATGATAGTTTAGAATATATTAATTAGTATACTGATAAGTATCAATGAATTACTATGTAGATATCGAGCCTAAACGAGTTCCGGAACCATCAACAAGTAGGATCAATCGAGGGAAAGACAAAGAAATCTAGGTGAGTGCATATGCATAGCATGAATATGTATTTTATTCAGTTCTAGACTTGTGATAAGTATAGATTCAATATTTTGATACATGATAGTATTTCATATTATGATATATGACATGAATCCATACCATATGCATTATGGGACATGAATATGCAAGAAAAAGTTATATGAGTTATGTGATAAAGGTATGAAAATAATATGTCTACGTGATACAAATAAGATAAATTGTGAAAGCCCATGTTATGTAAATGAGAACTATAGGTATAGTTGGCATGCCAAGGGTAGAGGGTCTATGTGGTCCTTCGGGACATATATGTATTCTTTGGAACATGTGTGAGGTCTGGTGAGACACATACTTGATCCTTGGCATATGCATATGATTCTTAAGGAATGATATGTTGTCCTTCGGGACATATATGTATTCTTTGGAACATGTGTGAGGTCTGGTGAGACACATACTTGATGCTTGGCATATGTATATGATTCTTAAGGAATGATATGTGGTCTTTATGGACATTATTATATGGCACTACGGTGCAATTCTACGCGGCACTCCGGTGCAATTCTACGTGGCACTTAGGTGCAATTATATGAGCTGTGGTGACAGCATAGTGCACAACCTCACAATACTCACATACCTTAGGTTCTCTGTATGGTACCATGGGCTAATGAACTTACTAAGGCGAACTTATGAATGTGAATTTGATAAGTATATGTATAAGAAACATGGTTCTGGTTATTGCATTGTTTACATACATCTTATCATTGCAACCCATCTTATTTTGGCAATTACTTTATATTTATCGATATTATTATTATATTACCTCACTAAGTCGATGACTTAGCGTGTGAGTGTTTAACACGTAGGATTCGATAAAGAAGACGATCGAGGTTAAGCAGCTGAACAACATTACTCCTGCAACTATCAGATCAGAAGCAACTTAATCAGTAGGTCATTTTGTTATGAAAATTGATGTTGACATGTAACTAA